TTTTTTTTTTTTTTTTTATGTTTTAATCACTTCATCTAATTATGTACATAAATTCATTATATATATTCTGACGTGAAATGTTTGTGATATTATAGAGACGTTCTTGACAGACTTTTTCGGTTACCGGTATTGGAATAACATTCCCTACATTGTGCACGACTACGTAGAGAGCTACTTTGATGTGTCTGATGATGGGAACTACGGATTTTGGGTAATTGCGAGCTATATTTTTTGTGATCAGGCGAAGTACCGGTTTGCAAGACAGATTATTGCAAATGAGATTGCGGGGAACATTCAGAGGTACGAGCCCGTCTAATTTGGTGGGATCGACATAGCACTCAATCGAATACGCCGAGACGGGGGCCCTTGTGGCCGGAATCACTGGATGGAAACTATATGCGACCTTTTTCCCGTTGCCACATTTTTTAATGCAATTGTCGTCATGTTAGGCATGGGTGAGCATGGTAACAATTCCAGCTTTTATAGTGCTACTATACTGCCGCTCGTGCACCATCGACGGCTACACGACCGGAACGCGAGATCGTCTTGTGTCATTTTGTTATTACCCACATTACATTCGTGTTAATTTGACTCTCGGCCATCCAATACCGTCTATATACCCTTATTGGACGGCACTTGGAGATGCGTCGGTTGTCGGTTGGGAGAATTAATACAACAATAGAATAGCTACGTCGATCATGATTCGTGATGGACCTAGGTTTTGATATTCTTATAATATTCGGTTGTGATTATACGTTAGTTTCAACTTACGTATGTCATTGACTTCGATTTTGAGTACGTATACGTGGATTGTGATGTATTTTTTTAATTATAATATAGTATATCATATCGGAAATATAAAAACATAATAATGAGTAACGACATATAAAAAACAAACAATTCAACCAAAAGTCGAGCGTACAGTAAATAAAAAAAAAAAACACAACATTATTTACATCAAACATCAACGCCGCGTCGCTCTCTCCCAATCCGCCTTAACTACGGACAGAGCGTCTGCGTACTCCTTCGTCAAATCAGGATTAACACGCTCGACGCGCGGCATGTACACAGAGTGGATGTCGTCGTAATGTTTGAGCCACTATCCACAAATCAAGGAGTTACAATAAATAAATATTATAATGAAAGCACACATTGAGAACAAAAATTAAGTAAACGACTTACATAAGAGGCATCGACGCGCGAAGGGACTGGGGGAGGCTCCGTCGGATCGGCACCCAACAGCTTCGGACGAGAAACCCGAGCGAACCACTCGGAGTACGCCGGCTCGACCTCCCCTTGTGTAACTATGGTGCGGGTGTAGGCAACCAGGTTGACGGCCGACAGCTGCGTGAACTCGTTCCAGGAATCCTCTGCAGCTTCTACAGAGTGCTCGACCTTGTAGTACCTAGACTCCCAAGCCCGTACTACAGTGGATGGCCGACGGATGCCGGGAGGGATACGCTGGACGTAGCCCAGCTGACGCAACAACCGCAGAGGATTGTAGGGCTCCAGGATGTCGCAGTACCTAATGCACCCGACATAGAGGGTCCTAGCCTCGATATCAGCGGGGTTGCGGCCGTACGACAACCAGTTCACCTGTTCAAAATTGCACAAAAACATTTATTACAACACTCATATTTATTAAAAAAATAATATTTAACAAAATGTAAATAACACTTACAACATTCACGTACCTGGTCCACCCTGAGCTGGTCAAGGGCGACACGGTAACCTTCAAGGCGCTCTACGGACCTCTGAGTCACCGGCGTGCTCCACGAGGTAGAACGTGCGACAACGCCATCTGCTGACCGAGTCTCTGAGTGGGGTCGAAAGGGCATGAAGTACTCGTAAATCCAAGACTGCAGGAGAGCCAAGCAGCCAGTCAGTCCCTTGGCGTCCCCCCTGCTGGCAATACCTAACTGTCTGTATAGGTATGCCAATGCAGCCGAGTCGCAGGAGAAAGTCCGAACTCGAGCCGTGTCGTCGCGCATCTCGTGCATGACTTTCGGACTAATTCTGTTACCACTCTTGTCTGTAAACAAGGTGGTACCCATCGCCCATCCATAGCCATGCGACTGCCTCCTGGTCAGCCGCCCGAGGTTCTATGAGCCCCCTGAATGCGCTCGAAACGGCGACAGTGGTCACCCCACCGTGATCCCAGTACTTTTCCGTCAGCTCTCTGGTCCACCCCCAGCATCTCCATGCAGTACGATGGAGTGTCCCAGTGTCCGGGTCCCCTGCCACTATATGTCCCTCACGAGAACCCCCAAAATGGTCCGGACGCCGTGCAACATTATACTCATTTCACCAAAAGACAGGTGAAACGAGTTAGTATCGGGCTGCCAGCGTTCTACGAATGCAGAAAGTAGTGGAGTGTCTAGGCGCGCATGCATAGAGTCCGCCAGATGTGGCAGCCCCAACTGATCTATCAAAGCACGTGGGTCGGGACCCATCTCGGTGAGCCACTCTTTCAAATTGGCGTGCGCTGCATGCCTGTTTTGGCATTTCAATAGGCCTCTAACACGCTGCTCTGGCACAGACAACATCATACGGGAGGCCACGTGCCCTAGAAAGCTAGGGATAACGCTCCCGTCACTGGGGTCACCGGGTACTGGGCTTTAACGATCCAAGAGTCATCACTCTTAGACCGTTTGCTACTTGAACTTGCATTTATAATACAACAAATAAGTATAGATATATACACGACATATTGTGACCGACTGTATCAATGATATGCTATTACTAAATAAAAGTATATGTAACTAACAGTAACAAAATTAAAGTACGTACAGTATTACCAGAGGAGGATCCAATGCCCGCAAAACAGCCTCCAGTCTGTCGTGGAGGAACAAGT